CTCTCACACTCTCACACACTCTCACACTCTCTCACACTCTCACACACTCTCACACTCTCACACTCTCACACACACTCTCACACTCTCACACTCTCACACACTCACACACTCTCTCACACTCTCACACACTCTCACACTCTCACACACTCTCACACTCTCTCTCTCTCTCACACACTCTCACACACTCTCACACACTCTCACTCTCTCACACACTCTCACACACTCACACACTCTCACACTCTCACACACACTCTCACACACTCTCACTCTCTCACTCTCACACACTCTCACACACTCTCACAAACTCACTCTCACACACTCTCACACACACTCTCACTCTCACACACTCTCACACTCTCACACACACTCACACAAACTCTCACACACTCTCACACTCTCACACTCTCACACACTCACACACACTCTCACACACTCACACACACTCACACACTCACACACTCACACACACTGACACACTCTCACACACACACTCTCACACTCCCACTCTCACACTCTCTCACACACACACTCTCACTCTCACACTCTCTCTCACAGTCTCACTCTCTCACTCACACTCTCACACTCTCACACTCACTCTCTCACTCTCACACTCTCACACTCTCACTCTCACACACTCACACTCTCACACTCTCACACTCTCACTCTCACACTCACTCTCACTCTCACACACTCTCTCTCACACTCTCACACTCTCACTCACTCTCACTCTCACTCTCACACTCACTCTCACACTCTCACTCTCACTCACACACTCACACTCTCACACTCTCACACTCACTCTCACTCTCACACTCACTCTCACACTCTCTCACTCTCACTCACACACTCACACTCTCACACACTCACACTCTCACTCTCACACACACTCACACTCTCACACACTCACACTCTCACTCTCACTCTCACACTCTCTCACTCTCACTCTCACACACTCTCACTCTCACACTCTCACACTCTCACACTCACTCTCACTCTCACACTCACTCTCACACTCTCTCACTCTCACTCACACACTCACACTCTCACACACTCACACTCTCACTCTCACACACACTCACACTCTCACACACTCACACTCTCACTCTCACTCTCACACTCTCTCACTCTCACTCTCACACACACTCACACTCTCACACACTCACACTCTCACACTCTCTCACACTCAGAAAAACTACGACTTCGAAACGTTGAAAAAGTGAAACTGACTAAAACACAGAGAGAAAGTGGAATATATATTTAAACACTTTCTGTTACCGACCTCTTCTTCTTCTTCTTCTTCTTCTTCTTCTTCACTGGTTTCTAACGGTGCAGCTTTTGTTCTCACACCTCTACAGCTCAGACACGACCTTGGTGACTTGGACTTGAACTCTGACGACTTGGGACTCGAGCTGGACTCCGGGTTTACTCACCGCCACAAAGATGTTTGGTCCTGAATGTGAAAGACATGGACAAAATATTAGGAACCCTTGACTTTATAACACAGTCTCACACACCTGAAGCTCCTGCCTCAAACATGGCCGACTACCAGTAGAGAAAAAAGGCTTGTGTCTCTGTCACAAAGATGCAAATAAAGTGTAAATAAAGTGTGAATGAGTCTTATTCATTCACACACACTCACAGTGGCATTCAAATGTGTGTGTGTGTGCGTTGGACGAAGTGTGTCGCGTAAGATAACATCTCTGTTTTGTTTGGAGGCCGTTTCCTTCTGCAGAGATCATTTCCATAAACACAAATACTAACGAGGACGCCCCCCCCCCGTCTCTGCAGTCAGATCATGGGACGTCACGTGTCTCTGAACAAACTGTGTTCACTGAAAGAGACTGACGTGTCTCAGCTGGAGCAGCACGAATCAACCAATCAGACGCTCCGAAGGTAAACCTGCGAGGATGAGAGGAAGTTAGTCTGAGTGTGATCAGCTGTTTCCTGTCCTACACAGCAGTTCAGGTGGAGATAACCTGGTTCTACAGAGAACAACACAACCAGGTTTTAGAACATGATGATGAAGATCTGTTAAACTACAGAGGCCGGAGACAAAACTGACGGAGCAGCAGCCATTTTGTTTTCAGGTTGTCTGTCTCAGTAACTTCTCCACGTGTGTAAAAACATTCACAAGGACTCAGAGATAACTGATTAGATTTTGGCGGCTAAAGGTCAAAGGTCAGACTTCACAGCAGCTTGTTTCATTTGAAGGGAACCTGGAGTCAGACTTTAGTGAAGGTGTTTTGTGCCACTGGTCCAGATGCGTTCACGTTGATGACACTGATTAATGAGGAGACAGGGAACCTCGTCGTTTCACTCCTTCAGTATAAAAGTGGCGAAGGACGTGTCGTCATTATTCTCTCTGTTCTGATGTGTTCGGTCCAACCAACAGTCAGAAACACAAACATGCTGAAACAGGTGGATCAGGATCACAGTGTCAAATGATCAGTCATTGACCTTTGACCTTTCACACTACAGCAGTCGAAAAGTGTGTGCGCTCTGGTCTGAGGTCAGTGTGAGGTGTAGACGTCAGCTGACCCACTAACAGCAGTAATGTGTGTGTGTGTTGCAGGTTGCTGAAGGGTCAGAGGTCAGAGGTCATCATGCAGACTATAAAGTGTGTGGTTGTGGGTGACGGAGCTGTGGGGAAGACCTGCCTCCTCATCTCCTACACCACCGGAGCTTTTCCCAAAGAGTACATCCCCACGGTGTTCGACAACTACAGCAGCCAGGTGTGTGTGTGTGTGTGTGTGTGTGTGTGTGTGTGTGTCTTGAAGGACGTGTACCAAACACGCAGACTACAGTTCCCAGCATGCACAGTACCTCTGTTGTATAGTGATACACATCTGCACCAGAGTCTCACGTACACTCTGACCCAGTGTGTGTGTGTGTGTGTGTGTGTGTGTGTGGTGCATTCAGGTGACGGTCGACGGCAGGATCATCAGTCTGAACCTTTGGGACACAGCAGGTCAGGAGGAGTACGATCGGCTGAGGACGCTGTCCTACCCACAGACCAACGTCTTCATCATCTGCTTCTCCATCTCCAGCCCGGCCTCGTACGAGAATGTCAAACACAAGTGGCACCCAGAGGTCAGAGGTCAAAGTCTGCCCGGCAACTCGTTATTCATTTAAACAGCTTTTAATAGGTGTTGTTATGGCAACACTTTATAATGCAGCCTGTGACATCACTTATAACATACTGACCGGTTCCTGCTGGTTCTCACAGAGGAAGAAACGCTGTGGAGAACATGAGGAACAACAACTGAGTGTTCTACTAAAAAAAGTCGTAACATTAAAAGAAAAATTTGTTAAAAGAAAATGTTGTAAAATTATAAGAAAAAAGTCGTAACATCAAAAGAAAAAAAGTAGTAACATTACAAAAAAAAAGTTGTAACATTAAAAGAAAAAAAGTCGTAATATTACAAGATAAAAGTCGTAACATTACAAGAAAAAAGTCGTAACATTAAAAGAAAAAGTCGTAACATTAAAATAAAATGTAAAATTACAAGATAAAAGTGGTAACATTAAAAGAAAAAAAGTCGTAATATTACAAGATAAAAGTCATAACATTACAAGAAAAAAGTCGTAACATTAAAAGAAAAAGTCGTAACATTAAAATAAAATGTAAAATTACAAGATAAAAGTCGTAACATTAAAATAAAAAAAGTCGTAATATTACAAGATAAAAGTCATAACATTACAAGAAAAAAGTCGTAACATTAAAAGAAAAAGTCGTAACATTAAAATAAAATGTAAAATTACAAGAAAAAAGTCGTAACATTAAAAGAAAAAAGTCGTAATATTACAAGATAAAAGTCGTAACATTACAGGAAAAAAGTCATAACATGAATGAATGAATGAATGAATGAATTAAAAGAAAAAAGTCGTAACATTACAAGAAAAAAATCGTAACATTAAAAGAAAAAAGTCGTAACATTAAAAGAAAAAAAGTAGTAACCTTATAAGAAAAAAAGTTGTAACATTAAAAGAAAAAAGTCGTAACATTACAAGAAAAAAAATAGTAACCTTATAAGAAAAAAAGTCGTAACATTACAAGAAGAAAGTCGTAACATTACAAGAAAAAAGTTGTAACATTAAAAGAAAAAAAGTAGTAACCTTATAAGAAAAAAAGTAGTAACCTTATAAGAAAAAAAGTCGTAACGTTAAAAGAAAAAAGTCGTAACATTACAAGAAAAAAAATAATAACCTCATAAGAAAAAAAGTCGTAACATTACAAGAAAAAAGTCGTAACATAACAAGAAAAAAGTCGTAATGTTACAAGAACAAAAGTCGTAATATTACAAGAAAAAGTTGTAAGGTTACAAGAAAAAAGTCATAACATTAAAAGAAAAAAGTCGTAACATCACAAAAAAAAAGTTGTAACATTAAAAGAAAAAGTCGTAACATTAAAATAAAATGTAAAATTACAAGAAAAAAGTTGTAACATTAAAAGAAAAAAAGTCATAATATTACAAGATAAAAGTCGTAACATTACAAGAAAAAAGTCGTAACATTAAAAGAAAAAAAATTGTAATATTACAAGAAAAAAGTTGTAACATTAAAAGAAAAAGTCGTAACATTAAAATAAAATGTAAAATTACAAGAAAAAAGTGGTAACATTAAAAGAAAAAAAGTTGTAATATTACAAGATAAAAGTCGTAACATTACAAGAAAAAAGTCGTAACATTAAAAGAAAAAAAATTGTAATATTACAAGAAAAAAGTCGTGACATTAAAAGAAAAAAAATTGTAATATTACAAGAAAAAAGTTGTAACATTAAAAGAAAAAGTCGTAACATTAAAATAAAATGTAAAATTACAAGAAAAAAGTGGTAACATTAAAAGAAAAAAAGTTGTAATATTACTAGATAAAAGTCGTAACATTACAAGAAAAAAGTCGTAACATTAAAAGAAAAAAAATTGTAATATTACAAGAAAAAAGTTGTAACATTACAAGAAAAAAGTTGTAACATTATAAGAAAAAAAGTAGTAACCTTATAAGAAAAAAAGTTGTAACATTACAAGAAAAAAGTTTTTTTTACGAGAATTAAAAATATAACATTTTGAGAGAAAAGAACATCACCTTTAGGAATATCACATCAAACACTAAACCAGATCAGTCAGTGCAGCCTGAGCTTTATGAAACCTAAAGTAGACCTTCACAGGAAGCGTTCTACATTTTACTAACCACCACCATCATCATCATCATCCTCAGGTGTCCCACCATTGTCCAGGCGTTCCCATCCTCCTGGTCGGCACAAAGAGCGACCTCCGAAACGACGCCGAGATCCAGAAGAAGCTGAAGGATCAGAACCAAACGCCCGTCACCCACCAGCAGGGCACTGCCCTCGCCCGCCAGATCCATGCCATCCGCTACCTGGAGTGTTCAGCCCTCAACCAGGACGGCATAAAAGACGTGTTCACCGAGGCCGTGAGGGCCTTCCTCAACCCGCAGCCCACCGTCAGCAAGAGGTCCTGCGTCCTGCTGTAGGACCGAGACTCCGCCGGCAGGACCTGACGGGACTTGAAGGGACTTGATGGGACTTGACGGGACTTGATGGGACCTGATGGGACTTGAAGGGACTTTTATCTTTTAATTAGAAAAGATTCAGGGCTCAGGGTGGGGGGTGTTGGTGGGGGAGGTGGGGGGCGCGGGGCAGGAGCAACTCATTCAAACACTTTGGGCTTCAGATTTTTTGGTTGGAAAAGATTTTTTGGGGGTGGAGTTTTATTTGAGAACGTCTTCACCTTCACCCATCAAATCATTTAAACTCACAGTCAAGCTGTTGTCATGAACACAACTTTGTGTATCTGTTGTCATGACAACTGCACCAGTGTGAAGTAGAGATTTGATGGAGGGTCATAATCAGTCCAGACACTGTTTTATCTGTATTTTCTATTTGCCTATAAAATATTAAAATCCTGAGAACTCAAAATGTTTTTATTCTTATCTGAAATAAAATCAAAAATCTGATCTGAACCAACTGTTTTTATACCTGAGCAGGTGTTACCACTAAAAGGAGGGGGGGGGCAAAACAAATGCTGATATCCAGACAACACACCTAGAGCTCCCCCTGGAGGCCTGGAGTGTTTGTTTTGTACTTCCATGTGTTGTTGTTTCTGTGTTAGCAGCGTGTTGGCCCTCGTCAGCCACTGTACATCTGAACTCAGTCTTCATTCAGTGACTGTATCAGCTGGATGTGATGTTGACAGAATCTGTCACAGTCAGGAGGTGAAAACATAATCAGCTCCACCCACAGCTGTGACACCTGAGAATAATAATCTGATGATTTAATGTGAAAGTCTGAATACATTTATGATTCTTATTTGCCGTCACTTGTACCACAGTATGTTCGCTGTGTGGTGTTCGTACTTCTACTTCAGTAAAACATCGGAGAACTTCCTCTGCCCTCTGTCAGACAGGTGTGTGGTGTGTTGGTCAGGTAAATGAAGTTGGGGGGAAGTTTAATAAATGACCTGCAGAAAAAACAACTTCCCCAAACCATGAAAGAGCTGTTATGGTGTCAGGTGATAAAATAATCAAATCATGTGACCTCACTCAGGGTCGAACACTGAGCGTGTCTGCAGGTCTGATTTCTGTTCCATTAATTATTGATCGTTGTTCCCTGAAGAGACGTTCAGTTCAATCTCAGAGGAAACAAATACTCACAAGTCACTGATCTACATCGACTCATGATTTCAGCTGCTGGATGTTCAGAGTTTCTGTTGATCTGGGGTTAAAATTTAAACTCAGTTCATTCAGCTGAAGACAGACCGGGACCACGCAGACCCTGAAACCTCCAAATACCACAGAATTAGTGAAGCAGAAGAGTTCATGGAAACACTGCAGATATAATAAATATAAAAACTGATCAAACTCATTCACCTCATGACTCTGAGTCTGATTTCTGTGAAACTCAGAAGAATCTCAGTGTGTTTCTGTTTCTCCTCCGTTCAGGATGTTGTCTTTTCCTCCGGAGCGTCTCCTCGGAGACAGGGAGCCACTTCCTCTTCCTGTCCCTCATCTCCTGCTGAAGCTTCTCTGACTTTAAGTTAACGAGAGATATACGAGGCACAGGGAAGATGGCCGACAGCTGCTTTTAGACTGAGTCTTGGTCCTGAGGACAAAGGTCCATTTTAGTCTCAGTCACAGAGTCTAGTGTTTGTCAAGAGTCAAGACTTTAAATGTGGCGGTCACTTTGAGTTTCAGTCATTATTGAATTTACAACACAGGCTTCAAATAAAGATGGACGCCACAGATTTCTGAAGCTGCTCCACCGTTGCCATCATGGCAGTGTCTGACTCCGTCCCCTAACTCCCAGCTAATCTAAATATGGGCAAAGAGGAGGGGCATGGGTGGAGCTGAGACAGTGGTGCATACACTCACCCACCTGTCACTCAAAGAGGCCACACCCCCAATCCTCCATAACTTTAGCCCTTAATAAAATGTAAACAGGCGAGTTATATAAACAGGTGTCATGAAGGAGGAAATTAGCTCTAGAGTCCAAAACAGTTTTTGTACCAGGCTGTAAACATGTTGATTTCTGCTGTAAAGTTGGACATTTTAACATGGGAGTCTATGGGGACTGACTCACTGTTGGAGCCAGACTCTAGTGGTCGTTAGAGGAACTGCAGGTTAATTGTTTTCTGGAGGTTGATGATTGGTTTACAAGACTGAGCAGTGTTACTTTTTCATCCTCTCATGCTGAACTGAGGACGGACTGGACGCTCAGCGACTCACTAGGCTAGGACGCGACAGGCTAGGGCTGGTTAGCATGCTAACATCAGTAGAATAAGAGCTAGATATGGAAGCAAAATAAATAAAACATTGACATTGCTTTCCAATGTTGGAGACAGCTGTTGGTGGGTGGAGGAATGAAGTTCGATACTTATTCACGTTTTCTAGACTGGGGAGTAAACTGCTAATGCTAACGTTGGCTATGAAGCAATAGCAAAAACACAAATATTGCTCCTTCAATCAAAACTGCTTTCCAAGATTTCACCACCGATAAACACAGCTTCACAGAGACACTCAAGTCAGGCTGCAGGGGTCCAGATGTGCCACAGGGGGCGCTGTGCAGCAGAGAGTACAGACTCACTCCCACAGCTGGAGGGAACCACAGACTGAACCTTTAAACCAGGTCTGAAGAGTTATAAGGATGAAGCTCCACACGCAGCAAAACACACACACACACACACACACACACACACACACACACACACACACACACACACACACACACCACAGCAACACACACACACACACACACACAGCTCAGAGCCTCCTCTCTTCTGATTGGCCCACTGACCTGTTGTTACTAGAGCTGCAGAGAGAAGCCTGAGAGAGGAGATGTAAAACTACACTGAGATGGTTTTTATATCTTCTGATGGATCAACACTTCAAATAAAACACAGAAGAAGAAACATGGCGCTTTAATAACAATCATGGTTATTGATGAACTGATCAGGTCCTGATGTTAACATCTCTGTTTGGCCTTAATTCAGACTCCCCTGCATCATGAGGAATGAGCAGATTTCAGGTAAAAACACTCAGAGAAACCAAATCCTGCAAGGTTTGGATGGTGGGTCCAGGTGGGCGGGGCTTGGTGACTGCTTTGTTGTGACATCACAAAGTTCCAGAAGTCCTGACGGCTGGTTTTAAGGCTCAGTTTCTGAATACAGGCTGTGTGCATTTCTCTGTGGACTGAGGCTTTGATACTTTCACAGTATTAATATAGAAGCTAGAGCTGATCTATAATCACACTACACATGGACACAGACCTTTACACTGGAGGAGCTTTAAGTCCAGTTATAAACTCCTTTACAACAAAGGTTCAGGGCTGAGCTCATTTCTAGGTAATTCTATTTTTTACTTGTCTTTGACTGTTTGTAGCTTCTTGTTGTTGTTGTTGTCTCTTTTTAAACTGATCATTTATTATCAGCTGATTGTAGGACATTATCAGTTGTGTTGTTTTTGTTATTGACCGTTTTAATTATTCACACATGTAAAGAAAGAACTAGGGACGGGGTCGAGAATTGGCAACAGCTGTAAACTCTGTGCGTCTCCATGTGAAACTTTAGTCTCTATTTATTAAATCAATTTAAAAAAGAAAAACTAATTCAGAGGGATTTCAACTTGATTTATTTGTAATCCTGAGTGTTGGTCCACTGCAGCTCACATCTGTAAAGTGTAATGTTGATCTGCTGAGTTCAGGTGTTAGCGCTGTGACGTCTCCATGACGGCAGGTAGACGCAGGTGTCTGAAGGGGAAACTGGAGCCGCTTCCTCGTTCACTGTGTTTCATTCAGTCGCTTGTAAACAGGTTGTTTTTTTGAAGGATTTCTCAGGAAACTCATTTTATTGTCAAATCACTTTCACTAAACTCACTCAGCTGAGTGTGGCCTGGCCAGAAACACTAATTAATTATATCTAATCAGCTGTGTGACGTTTGGCTTCCTCCAGACCAACAGAATGACTGAATAATTGCACCCCCTTACTTCTTCCAGACTTTCTGAAGTCTTCTGTGGACCTGGACTCAGCAGGTCTGTACGTGTCTGCAAACTTCCCGACACACCACGAAGTCCAGGTGTGTCTGGAGTGATCAGGTCAAAGCTGAATCTCCCTGCAGAGCCGACCAAAGGCTCAGAGACACTTCTCACATAATGTTCAGGTAAAATCTCAACCTCAAGTTCCTGACGGTCCTTGAAGTGTCCCTCAGTATCGTTTGTCTTCAGGCGGCGTCGCCACGATCACCTCTTTGTTCCCAAAGTCCCAGAGGGCCGTCACGTGGAAGGCCATGTTGGAGAAGACCACCAGGTACTCGAAGAAGGCGAACAGGGTGTAGACTGTGGGGGGGGGCAGAGTTTCTGTTAATGAGGATTAAGGCCTAAAAGCCTTTTGAACAGACAGTTTGTAGTTTGTGTGTGAACAGCTGCTTCATGAACCTGAAGGCCGAGCTGAGCTGAGACGGTCTGGTCTACGGAGGATTTTCTCTTTGTGTCACCAGCTGGTAACGCACAGACAAAATCCTCCATAGACCAGACCGTCTGATTTCAGTTCGCCCTGCGACGTAAGACCACGCCCCCGTGGACCAGGTCCTCTGAAGGACCGGACTCTGACCGGGACTCAGCTCCAGTCTGATCCTGGTTCAGAGACCTCAGAATCTGGACTGATCCGGATCAGGCGGACTCGGACACGTACCTCCTGTCTCGCAGTAGTTGTTGTGACGTCTGAAGAAGTACGCCGCGGCCGCACAACAGCTGACGTTGAACAGGAAGAGACGCACTTTCCATCGATACGACGTCACTTCCTGAGATACGGAGAGAAACAGAACCGGTTTGTAGATAATGACCACAGAAGAAGAGGCGCCCTGAAGTGATGTGTTCATGATAATCAGGGTTTTGAACTTCATTAGTGAACAGGACAAAGTTCAGAAACACGTGATGATCTATATTTATGTGTAAACAGGAACGTGACTGAGTATTAAACATCTGCAGTGACTGACATCCAGAGGCGGAGCCAGGGGGCGTGGCTTAGGACCCTCAGTGTCTCTGACTCGACCCCAAGATCAATGAAGCTCTTTGATCAACTGTTTCACTTTAGACTCTTCATTTACATTTTATCATCTGTTCATAACTTCTTATTTATTTCCTGTGTGTGTAGATATGTTTCTCTCTCCCTGTCAACAAATCAATATTTATATAAATCAGCTAAATCTATAGAAATAATGTTCTCTGGATGCTACTGTCTTTCTATTCAACCAATGATCCACAATAATGATGTTAGTAAATGTCAGTACGACCTGTCGTGACTCTGTTACAGGCCTTTAAATGAAGTGATGGCCTCAGGTTCTCCAGGACTTGCAACAGAATAAAGAACATTAACAGCTGGTTCCTCGTTGAATCAGCTGATGAAGGTTTCCTGGACACATCGCGTCATGTGACCGACGGTGAGGAGCAGAGGTTAGATGAAGATGAAGTGGTGTGAATGACTCTGTCAGCAGGTTTTCTCTGTGTATGTGTGTGTGTGTGTGTGTGTGTGTGTGTGTGTGTGTGTGTGGTTTAAAAAGCGGGGGGGGGGGGCTGAAACAGGGAACGACCAAAATAATGTTTGAGTCAGACGTTAAATTTGGAACTCGGTGTATTTCCTGCTCGAGCGTTAGAACTGATCTGAGTTCAGAGAAAACTTCCACGTCTGGTTCCCGCTCTGCTCACATCATGTTGCTGAGGAACAGGATCATGGTCTTCACTTCTCTTTTCTCTTAAATCTTTATCTAAAACACACACCGCTGCACGTCGGTCTGAGGCTGAGAGCGAGAACAGGCTGAACCCGGCAAGGAAACCTTCAACCTCCTCCTCAGTGATCAGTTACACCTCCTCAGGACCCTCCAGAACCTCCTTTGGGACACAATGAATCCCTTCAAGGAGTCAGAGAACCTCCTCAATCCATCACTCCACCAGGACTCGTAGGTCGGGTACCATACCATAAACACTTAGTCCTGGGCTTAAGTCTGAGTTCACCGTGAGACGTTCCTGTCTCTCTCCCTCTGGGGAGAAATCTGAATCCCTGACTCTGAATAAAAGAAGAAATGGGTCACATCAAGTATCACCAGCCTCCTTCAGACCCTCCATGACTCCATGAACCTCCGCAGGGACCAACAGAACCTACTCTCCTGCTTAAAGGAGCTCTTTGTAAGTTAAGCCATTGCTATATATCGTTAGCATTAGCAACTGTTTACTGACCAGTCTAGAAGAGACGTTGTGAGTTCAGCATCAAACTTCATTCCTTTACTCTATAAAACATCTGTCTCCAGAGGTGATGAGTTATAACAGCAAACAGCTGTTAATGCTAACGTTAGCTATGTAGCAACAGCATAACTTACAAAAAGCTCCTAAGCATGATGCAAGGACATGAAGAAACCCTTCAAGCACCACTAGAGCGAAGGTAAGAACCACTAACACTCCTCTGCTTCCACTAGAACTTCAGCAGCACCAAAACCCTCTCAAGAACCATGTGTTCCTCCTCCAGAACTTGAAGAACCACCTCAAGGGCCAAGACAACCTACGCAAAACGGCTCAAGGCGGACTGAGGCAGCTGGACACGAAAGGACTCTCACAGCACCCCTGGGACTTGTCCTCAAACCTCCTCAAAGACCCCAAACGCTCCTCATTGCTTCTAGCACCACAAAACCTCCACAGTACCTGTAAAAACTTCAGGCACTTCTTAAACCACCACAAGAGCCACTGACCGTCCTAAAGGAGCCGTACAACCCTCTGAAACTCCTCCAGCTCTCCTGGAAACCTCCTAAACCACCCAACAACCCCCCACAGCTCTGTCCCAAGGTGTTTCGTGTCCAAAACAATAAAAAAAACCTACTCTGTGTTCATGAAGTGGATCTGCAGCTCTGCAGCGCCCTCTGCAGGTGGAACCTCATCACCGCCATGCTTTAAGACCTAAACCGACATCTTGCTGCCTGATCGATCAGTGCTCAATCTGTCAAGACATTCATATGGATATTTTGTCAATGTTCATCAATATGTGATGTTTAATACAATGCTCCAATGCATTACATGAAAAACCACCGTCACATGTCTGACATAAAACCTGCCGTGACTCCAGGGTCCACAGAGCCGCTCTTCACTCTTCTGCTGCTACATGCTTCCTCAGCTGCACCGCTGGACAACCACAGCGCCGAGGACTGAGACACCAGAGCCTGAATGTTTCATGACATTTCTTCATTAAACTAAAACAAACTGTAACTTCAGCAGCTGACAGGAGGTTGCTCACGGTCACATGATGACAGAGGACACGCACAGGCGCCGCCTCGCTCTCTGCGTCGACCTGCAGCTGTACGAACCAGCGCCGCTCGTCACGTGTCACAGAGCTGCTGTGACTGAAGCTGCAAACTCAAACTTTTTCTTCACGAAACTTGAGTTTTTGTCGACATTTTTACAAATTGTACAAAAACAAAAAGTCACATTCATTTTAATGTGAATGTTCTACGCTCTCATCATTTCAGACGGCCTTTTGCAGTACTTGTCATTTTATATAATATTTCATATAGATATACAGAGTGTATATATATATATATATATATATATATATATATGTATATGTGTGTGTATGTGTGTGTGTATATATATTTTTATATTCATTGGTTAATAATACAAAACCATATCAGAGACATCTGGTGAGAACAGAGCAGAGGGAGGAGGGGGTTTGTTTACCTCTGGGTTCACATAGTATCTCCTGATCACCTGCCACAGCCAGCATGTAATGAGCATGTGCAGCAGCGAGCTCGCTATGAACACGATGAACCCGTTTTTATGAACACCTGCGGAGACAAACAGCTGGTCACCACGTCCACAGAGTAAATGTAAACAGTCAACACTTTGTAGAAAGGTTTTACAAAGAGAGACAAGAGATCGGTGTTAACCCCCGACTCCAGGACCGGGGTCAGCTGACCGCGTGTGACTCACTGTACGTTTCTGTGGACGACACGTATGTGAGCAGCAGCAGGCCGGTGTTCTCGGCGAGGCTGCAGAGGAGCGCCAGCCCGCTCAGCAGCAGCTCCGGCAGCCTGTTGGCGAAGCGGCCGCGGTAGAAGTTGAAATACGCGGCGGCCAGCAGGTAGCGCGGCGCCGAGTGCAGGCCGATGCAGCAGCGCCAGATGTAGCGCTCCGGCACGAGGCTGATGGCGGCGCTGATGGACGGGAGGTAGTTTGACACCTGAGGGTGAGACACGGATCTGCTCAGAGAGAGGATGAAAGACTCACAGCAAAGCTTCAAGTTAGAATCTGAAAACAACCAGACCCGTGAGAGGGAGCGGGTCAGTCACCTGTCAATGACGTCACATCCCCTCTACACATGCGTCAGCCTTGTGGTCGTCCACGCCGCGATGACTTACCTGACAGTGTGTGTACGTGGCGTCCTCGAAGTGGTAGATGAGTGAAATGAAGAGGCAGGCGATGAAGCCGGTCAGAGGGAGCAGAACCGTCGCCACGGTGAAGCTGGCGACCGGCAGCCGAATGAGGGGCCGGTCCCGGTCCAGGCTGCTGTACGGCCCCTGGAGCATCCTGGACACACTCAAACCACATGACAGGGTCACATGACCGAGCCCCACAACACATGAACAAGTTCATCTTCAATAATTAGTCAACAAAGAAAACTTTTCTTTCTTTCTTTACTTTGCTTAATTTCTTATTATTCTTTCGTTTTCTTACCTTTTCTTTCTTTCTGTCTGAAATCAATCAGCGTTTCCACCAGAACAGGAGGATTTATTGCAGGGCTGGGTTGTACTGGGCTTAACTAGGTGTTCCTAATAAACTGACTGCTCCAGCTGTGTGCTGCTGTGTTCACACACCACTGCAGAGTGGGTCAAGCATCACAGCAGTTTAACAGGAGGGTTAACTAACAACTAACCACCACGTTAAAACAAAAAGCTGATTAATCATAACATCTGTTTCTCTGACGTCACAGACGGAGACTGATTCTAATTCTTCCTGATCTCAGCTGATGACAGGTTCACCCCCCCTTAATCTTTTCACTAGTACTGTCTGCATTCACCACGTATATAACGTACCATATAAATACACACACAC